GATGTGGATTTTCTGTTTGGGTTTATTATACCGTCAGAATTCAGCCATCGATAAGTTCGCTCAGGCAATCCATTACTGTAAATCAGTGTTTCTCAACCTTGACAATTTTAAGGCATGTGGACTTCAACTCCCAGAATTCCACAGCCAGCATTGCTGGCTGTGGAATTCTGGGAGTTGAAGTCCACATGCCTTAAAATTGTCAAGGTTGAGAAACACTGCAGTGTAAATCAAATCAAAGTCACGTAAGGGTGTGCATGCCCAGCCATAAATGTTTGGCAGCACCGGAGGAGCGTTCACTCATTTCTATTTACAGCCTTGCCATGTTTTCAAAGGGCCTCTGGGCGAAAAGCAAGCTGCAGCTCGAAACGTTGCAGCAGAGCACGCAAAGTAGTTGCAGCATGGAGACCTCCCTGGCGCTGCAACCGTATTAAGTCCCTATTTTAAATACACCTCAAAGGTAACGATTACTCGTTCTCCCACGGGAAGCCTTTCGATCGGAGAGGATCAACTCAAAAATCCCTCCACATTTCCCGACGCCGCACTCCAAATCGGAGGTCCTGCTTCGGGATCTGCCCTTCTTACCTGGATTCACGTGGGGAGGAGACGCAGCCCCCGCGGGCAGCTGCAAAAAGATGGCACGGAAGGAAATAAAACGGATCAGCTCCACGCCGGTCCCGAAGGTGAAAAGGAAATTGCCCAGGGCCGGGATCATCAGCAGGAACTGCAAAGCAGCCATGGCGGTGAGGGAAAAAAAAAAAAAAAAAAGAGCTTCTCCCGCCGCCTGGAAGGAACGCCCAGCTGCGGGTGGGGCTTTCCCCGGAATCCGCACGCCCTCCCGTGACGTCACAACCTGCGGCGTTCCTCCTCGGCCCCTCCCCGCAGCGAGAGGGCTTCCCTAGAACGCCCAGGCCCGCCTTTCTTCTAGTGACGTCACCTACTTCGGAGGGAGAGCCCTCCTGGAGGGATCACGTGACGTCAAGCCTATACGTTGTCGAATTCTGGAATCCGTTCGCTAAAAAAAAAAAAAAAATAACCAACCCTGCGTTCCCATCCCGGGATCGCGCCAGATCAAAAGCTGACGTTGCGTTTTTCCTTGCATGAGGGAAAAAAAAAAAGGAAGTGTAAATATAGAGCCGGTCGTTTTGTGTTCTTGCTGCCCAGAGAGATTTTTTTGTGATTTAGGACTTTGCTGGGCGTTCCCCCCCCCCCGCTTGCTTTTTAACCAGAGAATTCGCAGAATTCACCAGAGAATTTCCAGGTCGTTAAATGTCAACTATATCTTTATATACAGGTCCGACAAAACCAAGGAAGGCGTTATGATCCTCAGCAGGGGGCAGTAACGTCTAGCACAGTGTTTCTCAACCTTGACAAAAAATTCCGTACACCTGAAGTTGAGGGTCTTAAGGTGTCGGTCGTAACGACCGACACCTTAAGACCCTCAACTTCAGGTGTACGGAATTTTAACAGTTCCAACTCTTTGTGACCGGGTCGCCCTGAATAGGGTCTTACATAGGTCGACAAGGAAACCAACCCCTTTGGACTCTAAAGAACCTTCACCCTTTTTGGTGGACGGCAAGCCATGCCTTTCCTGTGGCAGGAAAACTGGATGGATGTACCCAGTGCTTTTTTTGTAAAAAAAAAAAAAAAAGGTGTACAACACATCATACAACCCGCCTTGCCTACTCTATAAAGTTTCATCCCAAAAAAGTGCCGGAACTCCATTCTGGGCGTTCTATGAGAAAAAAAAGCCCTAGATGTACCATTCAAACATCACAATCCTTCTGTTGATTTAAAGAAATAAACAAAAAATTGATGTCCCCAAGTGGAACTCCATTCCATATTTTGTGGGGACTAGTGCTTTGTGTCAGAAAAAAAAGCCTTCCAGATGTGCTGAGCCAACAGCTTCCAGATTTTCCAACCAGTATGGCCTACTGCCCTGCGCTACTCTCATCCCAGATAGTAACACTGTCATCACAACTGAAAGGTATGATTCCTCTCAAGCCTGAACAAAGTAAATAGCCTGCCAGCAAAGAAGATTTTGACCATCAGAAGAACTCATGCCCTAAAACAGGGGTAGGCAACTTGGCTCTTTTATGACTCGTGGACTTCAACTCCCAGAATTCCTGAGCCAGCATGGCTCAGCTTGGAAACCTCTTCCCTTTCCCCTCAGCATGGCTGACTCAGGAATTCTGGGAGCTGAAGTCCACAAGTCATAAAAGAGCCAAGGTTACCTACCCCTGATATAGTCTCGGGGGCTTCCCTGATATGCGCTCAGAGGGCACTGTTCTACAATATGTTGCATTGTCTGCTTTGGAGCTTCACAGCTCCATTTTGAATAGCAGAGCTTTCCTCCTTTATGGAGGAGATTAGCGCACCTGCCATGTTGGGTTCTAATCCTATTGAGGATTGACCAGGTCTTACAGGTAGATTGAATCCTTTTGATTCAGCTGAAAAGCAGGGAATATTGTGACATTCTGGAGGCTGGCTCAGGAATTCTGGGAGTTGAAGTCCACGAGTCATAAAAGAGCCAAGGTTGCCTACCCCTGCCCTAAAATAACTGTTAATAGGGGGGAAAAAGGTCCATGTTGGCCCTGTTATGTTTCACAGCTCAGTTTTACAGCTCATACTATCTGCCTGGCTGATTTGATCTGGCAATGCTGGCACAGTCTGGGTTCCCTCAGTTAAACAATGCTGTTTATCAGGACCCTGGAAGTATGCCTCCTCTGTAGCAGCACCTACAGAATAAGGTTCCCCATGGTCCCACCCTGCTGATGTTTTGAGGAGCTTTTCCCTCAGGTCTTTAGTGAAGTAGTGTGGTGGAACATAGTCTGGATTCCAAGAGGGAGAGGCTGCATCTCAGAGACAGCAAAATTTAGATATTTTGGTGGGGAGGAAGAGAGTCAAGACAGCTCCTCCCTAGAAATTCTCGGAATATTTCTTTCATGATGCAAGTACAGGTTGTCCTCGACTTACAACAGTTCATTTAGTGACCGTTCAAAGTTACCACAGCACTGAAAAAAAAGACTTATGACAATTTTTCACACGACCGTTGCAGTATCCCCATGGTCATTTGATGAAAATTCAGATAGTTGGGAATTAGTTCATATTTATGACAGTTGCAATGTCCTGGGGTCAAGTGATTCCCTTTTGCGACCTTCTGACAAGCAAAGTCGATGGGGGAAGCCATGTTCAACTATCAACCAGGTGACTATCTTAATAACTGCAATGATTCATTTAACAAGTGTGGCAAGAAAAGTCACAAAATGGGGCAAAGCTCACTTAACGACATAAATTTTGCGCTCAGTTGTGGTCGTAAGTCAAGGACTATCTGTAATTGCTTTAGTTTGGCAAGATCTCTTTCCGTAGGTGAGGAATAATGAAGGAAACTGCTTAGAAGTATCTTTTTTTTTCTTTTTGGGTTTGGGGGGGGCTTCCCCCAAACCAAATCCAGTCTGTTGATTTCCCCCTCTTTAATTTTTTTCTCTTTCTTTTCTTGGTTGTATTGTCTTTGTTTTCATAGTTGTGAGCAGCACAGTCATTGGCAATCAGGCAATCTAGGGTTAATATTAACATTATTAATATTATTAAAATCATCAAAGAAGGAGGACCTAATCCACGAAAGAGATGCCAGCTCACACACCTGCACTTTTCCTGGTTTCTGAGGGACTGGCACAGTCCTTCTTCAAAAGCAGATACAACTCTGAAAAAAACAGAGAATATTGCTAATAATTAAATCACCTATCATTGCATCTGGTTGTACAAAATGTATCTGATGCAATTTATATTATAAATAAGACATTAGTGATCAAATAAACAGGCTGTCTCTATGATATGCATTAAGACATACTTTACCTTTGAATGCAAGACACCAGATCTTGATTATCTAGGATCAATTTGAATTCTTACATAATGGGTTCATGTTCCAAATATTTAAATATTTCAGATTTAAATACACATTAGCAAAAGGATGTGACTCATCTTTTTAAGATAACAGTGAGTTATTTTGGCAGTCTAGGTGCTCTAGTTCTTAAAACAAGTTAATGTATACAACATGATGGCATTGTTTGCTTCCAAACTGTTTTTAGGAATGAGTTCCTTAGTCCTGCATAAAATTTTGATCCCACATCCCCCTTCCTCAAACTTTTTCAGATTCATCAGGCGTGATGAAAGGGATAGGGGCCAGGAGGCCACCAGAGACAACAACCACACTTCCTCCCCTGCTCTGGAGTCACAACTAAAGTCACACTCAAAGTTTAGGAGGCACATTTCAGAGAAGAGAACCCCCCCCTTCACATTGCCATTAGATGCCAACTCCATCAGCCTGAGGTCTGGCATGGCCTGAAGTCAGGGATGATGGAAGTTGCAATGGAGAAACAGAGATTTCCATGTCTAATATGTAGGAATTTATCCCTCTGTTTACAGGATATTTGCATTTATTTATGTATGTATTCAATTTCTATAGCTGCCCATCTCCACCAGTGACTCTGGGCGGCTTACTGTTCCTAAACTATTAAACACAATTTTAAAAGCATGTAAGACAATAAAAACATCCAAAATAAATACATACAGCTGCCAGGATAATTAACCAATTAACAGTAAAGTAAAAAAAAAAAAAGAGACCCTTAGCACATTCAGAGCTCCAAGCTCAGGTATAGAGCCAAATGTTAAAAGCCTAACAAAAGGCTTGCATGGTTGGGTCCATTTTAATCCCTAAGGGGGGAATATTTCATAGAGCCGGAGGTACAGCTACCTGTCTTCTAGTCCCTGTCAGGCAACACTCTTTGGCTGATGGGATCTGCAATATGCCCATTGTGGTTGGCCTGTCCCCTATCCCAGATATAACCAGATGTGAGACCCTCTTTGTGAAGCTTCTCCATAGGGATCAGTGGGGATTGCTGCTTACTTATTTTGCTCCTTGCATTGTAGCTACAATCCCGCTTGGTCTTGCCGTTTGGTATTTATTTTTTGTTATTGATATATTAAGAAAATTTAGATAGCCACCAAACTCACCTACACTTACAGAAAAGTAAAATCCCAAATATAAAACCAAATAAACAGTTACCCTCCCTGATACAATCAAATATAGGAATTCCTTGATTTATGATTGTAATTGAACCCAGAATTTTGATTGGGTTGAGGACTACTAGTCCTCAACTTATAATGACTTACAACCATAATGGTATGTTTTCTTACTCTAAACAATATTTTAAAAAGTTACCAAGTTTGAGCATCTCTGCTGTAAAGCAATAGAATAGAATAGAGCTGGAAGGGACCTTGGAGGTCTTCTAGTCCAGCCCCCTGCTCAAGTAGGAGTCTCTATATCATTTCAGACAAGTGGCTGTCCAGTCTCTTTTTAAAAACCTCAAGTGATGAAGCACCCATAACATCTGAAGGCAAGCTGTTCCACTGATGAATTGTCCTGTTAGGAAGTTTCTCCTTAATTCCAGGTTGCTTCTCTCCTTGATTAGTTTCCATCTGTTGTTTCTTGTCTTGCCTTTTGGTGCTTTGGAAAATAAATTGACCCCCTCCTCTTTGTGGCAGCCTCTCAAATACTGGAATACTGCTATTTATTTATTTATTTATTTATTTATTTATTTATTTATTTATTTATTTATTTGATTTGATTTGATTTGATTTGATTTGATTTGATTTGATTTTTACCCCGCCCTTCTCCTTGCGGACTCAGGGTGGCTAACAGGCTGATCATGTCCCCACTAGTCCTTCTTTTCTCTACACTGGCCATTCCC